CCAGCACCTGTGCCCGCGCGGGCGGGTGGCCGGGCTCCGCTTCGCTGCCTGGCCTGCATGAGTGCCCAGCCTCGATTCTGAGGATGCGGCCCCTTCACGTCCGCTTCCCGGGTGGGGGGACGCGAACCCCTACGAAACAGCGCAGCTCACCCCGGGCTCCGTTCGAAACTGCCGGTCTAGGCGGCTCGGAGGGCTGCCAACGCGAACTCCGGCTTCCCAGACCCGGGCAGGCAGGAGGGCGCCTCCCCTAGCCCCACCAGCGGGGACCGTAACCCTCCTGCTGAGTTCAAGAGGGGCACGTGTGGCAAAGTTGGAGTTTAGGTGGAAGAGCTGAGATTTTTCTAAGGAGTAAAAGGAAGGATAGTCCAGGGGGGCGTTTAATGTAATTAGTAAATCCTGATGGTAATGAGGACACCTGTGCCCTTCCTCCCTCCCTCCGTCCCTGTCGCATGGTTGCATCTCCAGTGAATAAAGCGATGCTGAAACAGAAGGAAGAGAAGCTGTGGTCAATGGCTGGAGAATACACTACTCGGGACAGTTTTGTAACTGAGACTTGGAGGGGGTTACTTGTAGAACTGTCGAAGTGATGTCATTGGATGACCATCAGCAAAGGAGAACATGCATTTTAGATGTGTAGCATGCAAATACATTAGCGGGAAAAAATTGACACCAATATGTAACCCATTAAAAAAAAAAGTTGTTTTTGTTTTCGTTTTGTTTTTACTTGCCAGAAGGTTCATTCGCAAGCCAGAAAGACGCAGAGTAAGAGAGTAACCCCCAAATGGGGGATTGTCACAATGCAGTCCCTCCTCCATGCACATGGGGCACACACAGTACACACAGCAAAAGTGCTTTACAGGCTTGACAATCACGTGGGATCTGATTTCCTTCCTCCTAGTGGACAGGACCTACAATACCTTCTGAGCCCCTTTCTATGCCTAGATATTTGAACATTATTATTTTATAGGATTCCACATTATTCTATTGTGAGAATTACCATAATTTACTTCACCAATCTTAGTATTGAACACTTTCTATCTATGACAAAGAGCATCGTGTTTAATATTTGTGTCCGTATTTGAAGACCTTTACTTTTCCATAGAATAAAGAACTAGATGCAAAATTTCTGCATCAATGAGTAAGCATATTTAAACATATTAATATATATTTACAAACTACCTTCCTCAGTTTTTTACCACAAGCGTGGAATGTTAGTGCTTATTTCCCTTCTTGTATCCATAATCTTCTGCTATGAAAAGAATTTCTCGTTTTTATCTTTATTCTTTTTATTTAAAATGTTATACATTTTAAACTCCAATAAAACCCTATTTTGTAGAACTGACTTCTAAAAGTACATATATATGTGTGTGTGTGTATATATATATTTTTTTTTTTAAGAGAGCGAGTTTTACTATAGGGCACATGTGCTCACCAGAGAGACAGAGACAGAAAGCAAGAAATCACCCCCCACCCCAGGGAGGATGGGCCCACTACAACCCCTTCTCCTCCATTTTCCTTTTGGGATTTTGAGCATGCAAGCACCTGGCATGGCTTTAAATCACCGATTCCGGGACTTGAACTATGGTCAGCTATGCAGGAATCCAGTGATGTGACCATTATATCATGTGCTGGTTTTCCTAAAAGTATAATGTGTAATTTTAAAAGTATACAATATACTGGGGCCAGCCGGGTGGCATGATGGTTAAGGCAGCTGGATCCTATGTGGCCAGCTGCATGGTTAGAGTTCCAGACCCTGTGGTTTAAAAAACATGCCAGGCAAGTGTGCATGCATGCCCCAAAACCTGATAAGATCATGGAGAACAAAGGATTGCAGGGTGGCCATCTCCTCTGTCGGGTGATTTCTGGTCAGTGTATGCACACTATAGCAAAAACTAGAAAACAAGAGTGGGCAGCACGAATAGCCTTAGCGTATGCAGTAACCTGGGGTCACTCATTAGATTTCAGAACATGTATTTACCTAAATGAGTTCCCTCTCCTTCACAGACATTTATTAAGTGTCTCTGATGTGCTAGACAATGTATATAAGGGTACTAAGACTACAGAAATAGTAAATAAGGTTTCCATATGATGGCTCAGTATCATGGGAAGAAAATGATGCAGTCATTACAATTACGTGATTATAAATGTGCAGGCAGAAACTTTAGGAGCATCACCGGAAAATAGTGAACTGAATCTAACTTTAGGAATGTTGCTATTGCTCAAAACATTTTCCAAACTGCTTTTTTTTAGGTACTGACTTCAAAATCCACAGTGAGTTCTGCAACTTCTGTGATAGCAAATGTTCATCTCTTAGAGATGCTTTAATTTTGGGAAGTTGCTAAATGCTCTTTGAAACCAAACCTGATGAATGAATCAGGTGTGGATCATATTTTTTTTCAGAGTTATGATGACTAAAATGTTATCCGGTTATGAAATAAATTTTATTAAGTGGCTACTGGGAATTGATCTCACTCCTTGAGCCATATTGCTGTGTTCCATAGGGTGATGACTTTCAAACTTTTTGGAACAAATCTAGCAGAAAATACATGCTATAAGGGTGAACGTATTTTATATCACAATGCTATAAGTACACATACACACTATTAAAGATTTCACCACAAAAACATACCTGTTTTTTTAAAAAAAATATTTATTTGTTGTCATTATTGTTTTTTTTTTTTGTTTTTTTTTTTTTTTTATTTTTCCCCGAGAGAGACAAAGAGAGAGAGAGGAAA